GGGCTTTCTCTAAAAAACAAAAAAATCTGTCTCCTGTGGTCTGCTGTTGGCACTTCCTTAACTGTTTTCTAATAGGGTTTACTAAATTATCATCAATAATATCGATGACACGGTTAAACAGCTCCTTCTCATGATGATTCTTTTCAAAAAACTTGTAGGACCCGCACTTTTTATCTAAAAACAGAACAAGAAGCCACAAAAACTAAGAACACTATAGCAAAACATTTGGAACACAGCTACAAAAGGTTTAAACAATGCATAATAACAGCGCCAACGAACACCAAGTGATCGACACACGACCTGCTTTTGTTTACAAAAATCGCATGCTTCGGGCAGGATTCTGATGTTTTGATCAAGCTCTGATGCAAAATTTTCTCTACATTTCACATCGAAATCCAATTATGCTGAGTATTTGATGCAGTCAAATACCGGGGTTCTACTGTATCACGTTCTTTGTGCCTACCCTCTTCATTTATATTACACCAGCTGCAACTTATCCATGAGATAAAGTTTTTGATCTTTTGTTTCTACACTAGCACTGCCCCCATGCTCCGTTCTCTGATCTACAGGCTTAGAAATATGGAGATGAATACCACCATGAGGAAAACATGATGCTATCAATTGTGTTTGGAAGGAAGGTAGCTTTCCTTGAAACTATTTTAAACTTGACTTTAAAACTCGCAATAAGGCTTAAAATAAGTGGATCATGAACGCAAAATGTACACAAGAGCATGCAAAAGACAGCCATAGGTCAGAGCTTAATATTTTCAGCATTTGCACAGGCCTCTTCCCATTTGGGCAATTTTGCCATATTTTTCTTTTGTCCATTATATTCTCTTCAAATACCTGCCTCAATGTATCCATATCATTCCTGATCTTTAGTTGAAAAGATTGTGATTGGTTTATATTTCTTAAGAAACTCATTCTACAATTTTTCATGCCAGAAGTGGCCCTAGAGAGTAGACCTTTATATGGAATTTTATATTTGCTTTCACAGACTTCTGAGAGCATAAGTACTGCACTGCTGGTTGGATGTGATGACTATGACTATATTAAAAATATATAGGGAAAGATTGAGAGCAAATGTCCCAGAATAGTAACAGTATCACACACACATGAACATTAAGAAGATAAAAAATACAATTGGATTTATAAATATCATCATAATAAATGAATAAGAAATTGATCTGGTCAATGATTTAATTCTGTGTAGATCAATGATATAGTTAAAGTTTATTGTGCCAACCTGGCCAATAAACACATGCAGGGTTAATTGAAGGGTAGAGGGATAAATGGCTCGATGAGCCTCGCCTTTCAAGTTCTCAGTCTCTTGCTTTGTGATGGCTGGACCAGGGTGCAGCTGCCTTACCCAGTTCCCTGCTTCAGCTAGCAAGGCTCATGTCCTGCAAGACATCCCAAGAAGAAGCCACATGGACCTACCCCAATGCACCCCTGGGTGCTGGAGAAGTCGTGTAGAGAACCCTGCCAGCGCTGAGATGCTTACATGTTCACTGATTCGGCTTTCCTCCTGTAGTCGGCATCATAGTGTGTGTTTTGTGAGATGGAGGAGGACTTTGTGGATTGGTGTTGGACATATGGGTTACTGCTGGACTTGTGGGTTTGGACAGCACTGGGTTGGGATGTTTTCTTCATATGCACTTACCTTTTATATAAAACTCTCTCTTACACGTGAGAATTTCTGTGGAGTTGTTTCTTTCTCTAAAATACCCAGACTAGCACAATCAACAATCAAGGTCCACGGAAGTAAAAAACCAAAGAGCAAACTTTTTCCCATTGAGTAATTTCTGACCCCCTGAGACCCCAAGCATTGCAGCACAGAATTATACTCCATAGGAATTTTAAAGCCTTGGTTTTTTTATAAACAGATCACTGGATATTTCTTCCAAGGTGCCTCTGGCTGGGTTCGGTCTGCCAGCCTTTCCAGTATTGAAGAGAAATATTAATAATGGCCATTTTACTTTAATTTTAAGATTGTTCTATGAAACTGAATATTACCTATGAGAAAGTCTTCCAGAAACTGCTCTACTTTAATGTAAACTTATCTTATTTTGGTAAAAAAAAAAACAATATTCAGCAAACCATTACTTCTTTATATGAATTCCCAAATACCTCTTGGCTTCAGGTGGATTAAGTGCCAAAATGTTGCAGCTAGGCCAGAAGTAAACTGTCAGTTGATTTTGGCAAATGGAAAGGCAGGATTCAATCACTGATATTAAAATTAACTAATAGTTGATTCTCCCTCCTCTTCTCATTGTACTGAATTACTCGTAGTTTTTTTCAAGCCATTTGCTTTTTTTCTAAGATCAAAATAGTCTTCCTATAGAAATATAGGAGTGTAAATGGTACTCTAAAGCGTTGAACTGCTAATGACAAGGAGGCAATTCAAACTTACCAGCCACTCCACAGAATGAACATGAGGTATTTGCTCCACTAAGGAATTGACTATTTACATCCTCAGAAACTCTTTATAGGGCCACTTTGAGTTATAACTGGCTTGATGGCAGCGGATGGAATATGTATATAGAAAAACTGGTCACAATAAACCTTAAGTTTGCTTTTAGTGAGTACTGATTGTTTTACACATATGTTAAACCATAGGTGCAACCCAAGAAATTTCATGGAAGCAACAGTAATGCTTTAATCATATACTGCATTGGGAAAATCAGTAACAGAAGAAAAAAAAACCTTTTAAGTATTAAAAAGCAAATATGTCACTTTGATGACTAAGGTGAGCAGGATCCAAGCCATAATCTTTCCAATTCCTTCGCATGCATGAGAAATCCTGCCAATGAAATAAGAATACAAAAGACATGTTGATGAGCTAAATGTAGTATTTGTGATGAATATTTCATATTCTGTGAGCTGCAAGAAAAGAAAAACAAAATCAATCGCAAAAGAAATACAACCAGAAATGAGCATAAAGAAACTTTGTCTGATTTAACTTTGACTCATTGTCAGGAAAGACCAATTGCTAAAAAGAACTTCAAGTTTGATAAAGCAGAGTGTCAGTGGGAAAGAAAAACCCCTCAGTGGGATGGATCGCCCCAGCTGTAACACTGGACACACAAACATTCTAATGAGTATAAAGATCATTTCAATCTGCCACACAGTAGGTCTCGTGAGTTGCTGTTGACTATTATTATTTGCCAGAATGACAAATTGAATGGAATGGCATTGACTTAATCTTCAAAAAGAACATTTCCGATTATATCCTGAAGTGTAATACTGTCAGTGGATAGGATGATATTCATATACGTCCAAAGAAGATCAGTTAGTTTGTATTTTATTCAAATTTACACACAAGCTATTAATGCCAAATATGAAGAACCTGAAGATTTTTACCAACTTCGGCAGCCTAAAATTGGTCAAACACGAATGTGATCAAGAAGTATTGACAGCGACTGGTTATAATAATAAAAAAGTTGGGGACAAACAAGATTTGTAGTTGGAAATAGAAACTTGATGATAGAAATTATATAGAAAGTCACATGATAGAATTTTGAAGACCATTGACTTAAAAATGGTAATTCTGTTTTTCAAATACACGAACAATTATTATACATGTGGGCCCACTAGATGGAATACAAAGTGATCAAATTAAATACATCTTTGGAAAGATAAAATAAGAAGCTCAATTTCATGTCAGTGGCCCGTTATGGAATAAGCCATGATTTTTCTCATACACAAGTCCAATATGAAGCTGAAGATTAAAACAGCACCACAGACCCAGATTACGCTTTTGAGTAAATCCTACCTGAAGTCAAAGGCTATCACAAGAATAGATTTGACACATTGAGCACTAATGAACCAGATGGATGAAGGTGTGACGTCGGGACATTATTATTTCTAGGAACCCTGGTGCCCATGAGGTCAGGAGTTTGAAACCATCAGGCACTCCAGTGAACAGTTACAGACATGGAGACCCACAGGGGCAGGATCTGTCTCCCAGGGTTGCTATGAGTCAGACTTGCCTCAAAGGCGGTGAGTTTGGTGTGGGGAAGACTGCTTTGTCATTTCCACTTGACCTGTGCTCAGACCTTACTCCCAACTGGTTTCTCAGAAGGTGCTACTACGTGAAAAAATGCTTTATGTCCTGTCAACACTATTCGGAATTTTACATTCCATTTTGACCCTTAGTTTGTGATCAGAATTCTCAAAGTATATAGAACTATTCACTTGACAAAATCCTAAAAGCTGGACCAACAAGTAGCATTATGATAAATGGAGACGAGATTGAAGTTGTTAGCCATTTCATTTTACTTGCATCCACAATCAACAGCCATGGTAGCAGCAACCAGAAAGCAAAGGAGGCATTGTATTGGACAAATATGCTGTCTTTAAACCTAAACAATGCATAAGGAGAACCAGAGAATATTGGGTATACCATGGACTATACTGCCAGGATGCTTCTTAGGAGTAAGAGTGGGGGACCTTTATCTTTCTTTCTTTGAATATGCAGTTAGGAGGGACAAACAGAAGGACATTATGCTTGGTATCATAGAAGATCCATGCAAAAGAAGAAACACTTTAATGAGAAGGATTGACACAGTGGCTGCAACAAAGGGGTCCCAAATAGCCTCGATTGGGACAGGCACAGGAGTTGGAAGTGTTTTGTTCTGTTGTAATAGGGTTGTTCTCAGTCTGAACTAACTCCACAGCTCCTAACGACAGCGAAAGCGTCAGAAACCTTAACATAACGATGTGCTCAGAACTTGAAGAGCATTGAACCATTGTTTTAGTCAAGGATTTAGCCAACAATTATTTTAAGAGATATCTTATGAAAATAAAATGAAACTAAGGAATGGGATAAATATGTCTCAGCTAACTCACTTTTAATTCCACTTGGATATTAAACAGAAAGCTTATATATAATTACACTCCCTAAAGCCACAATGGAAATAACTTTTGGTTGGGAGCAGAAGGGTGCATTTACAATGTAATTGTCAGTGATGACCTTTAAATTCTATTCATGTCAGAAATCAGGAGAGAATGTTCCTCTCTTCAGGGAATACAGGAAAGTACCAAACTTGGGAACAGCAGAGGTGGATTGGGTGATAAAATGTATTAATATTTAGAATAGAGGGAAGCATTTGTTATGACTGAATCCTAAGCCCAGAATGCTGCCTTTGACTCCCGGAGCTAAAAGGGATTAATCTATGAGCAAATCAGCTGGTAAGTGAAAATTCACCCAAACTACAGGAAGTTAAATATTGCTTCCAAACAAAATAAACTTAATTTATACATACATCTATGTAATATAAACTACATTTACCCCTCTAATAATGCAGATTTCATTCCATTTAAAATGCACGAATCCCCTTTCCTTCAAGTTTTTAGAAACATTAAAAATATTAATTTCTCAATACTTAAGTAAAGCAAATTGAATGAGTAGTGTCCTATCATTTAGCTGTGAAAATAAAGCATTTTTATTTGATCTTGTATTGAAAAATTTATGTAGGAAATAATTATAGTATTCAGTGTTATATATGGTGTTTATTAGATAAACATAGAATTTAACAACTTGCATTTTAGGTAAAAGAGGAAAGATAAATTTAGAGGATAAGAGGCACAAATTTAAATAATAATAAGGGACAAACTAAAGTGGAAATTCATTACTACTTTTACCTTTGCTGCTCTTTGCATGAGCAGTATAAGCTGGTCAATTAAGTGTATGAAATGTGTTATTTTATTTTTTAATATTAGAGGCTCTTATATACCAATGTGAAATAAATTTAAGGCAGGAAAGAGGATAGGCCAATATACGAGAAAAAGGAAGACGTACTTGAAGGGAAAATTTATAATACTAACAGAAGAAAACTTGAAAACTGTGGAGAAAATTTAATCCCTGTTTTGGGATATTTTTAATAAAAAGACAAGTGAAGGAAGGAATAACATGAAAGCCCCTAGAATAATCCCAAGAATAGAACTGTCACAGCCACCAAAACTTGAAATCTCTTTTTTTTCTTCATTTTTCTCCATAATATTGTTCATGCATATTAAGCTTTTAATAGTGGGTTGACTTTAGCATGAGTCAAATGAGGTACTTACATTGGATGCATCTCAATAATCAAGATAAGTAATATCAAATGGGATATTTTTTAAAATAATGATACAAACATTCACAACAAATAGAATGTAAAAAAGTTTAATTAAGATGTATTTTGAACCTACAAATACACACTCTATTTGGGTCTTCTTTCAAACTATCAGAAGGACAATATATTCCATGACAAGAAATGTACCCCCTTTAAGTTCATTTTTTTAATCTCAGATAGAAGATGACTGTACATCTTAACATGCCTTGAGATATCGTAACTGTTACTATCATTCCTTTTTATTTTCAGAAATAACCTGATTGGAAAGTTCAATCATATGGTAAGCCTACCAATACAAGGTGTGGAATTAATGACTTGAAATAAAATATACAATGGGTGGTTGAATAAATTTGTTTCTACACTGCTCACTCTGAATAACACCATGCTTCAGCAATATTTTGCTGTCTTACCCATGTATTTTCCAGTTACAACTTCTGAGAATTAGCTGCATTTGACCATGGAAAATATCAATAATGTCACTGAATTTATTCTGTTGGGACTTTCCCAGAACAAGAAAATAAAAAATGTTTGTTTCCTATTATTCTTAACTTGCTACATAACCATTTGGATAGGAAACTTACTGATAATCATTTCCATCATGTGCAGTCAGCTAATAGACCAGCCTATGTATTTCTTTCTGAATTACCTGGCTCTCTCAGACCTGTGTTATACATCAACAGTGACTCCCAAGCTAGTCACTGACCTTCTGGAAGAAAGAAACACGATTTCCTATACTAGCTGCATGACACAGCTTTTTGCTATGCATTTCTTTGGGGGTATTGAGGTCTTCATTCTCACGGTCATGGCCTATGACCGCTACGTGGCCATCTGCAAGCCCCTGCACTATGCCTTCATCATGAACAGAAGGAAATGTGAAGCCTTGGTCTTTGCTTGCTGTACTGGGGCATTTCTGCATTCTTTCGTGCAGTGCCTCCTCACCATCACCCTCCCTTTCTGTGGCCCCAATGAGCTAGATCACTACTTCTGTGATGTGTATCCTTTGCTGAAAGTGGCCTGCACTGACACATACACAGTAGGCATTTTAGTTGTTGCCAATTCAGGCATGATGGGCTTGGTGACGTTTGTGGTCTTGATGTTGTCTTACCTTTTGATATTATACACGATCAGGGCTTACCCAGCTGAAAGCCGCAGCAAAGCTCTCTCCACCTGCAGCTCCCATATCACAGTCGTCGTGCTATTTTTTGTGCCTGTCCTCTTCATTTACCTCAGACCAGCCACCACTTTTCCAGAAGATAAAGTGTTTGCTCTGTTTTATACCATCATTGCCCCCATGTTCAACCCTCTGATCTACACCCTGAGAAACCTGGAAATGAAGAACGCCATGAAGAAAGTTTGGTGCCAGAATCCCTTTGTGATTGGAAGGCAATTGACATGAAAGGCACATCTATCTTCATAGTAGACCCTGGTCAAGTGAGTTTGCCCTATCTTCAGTGTATTAAGGCATGAATCAGCTCATTAATATTATCATTTACTCTGAGGTTCTTTTCTTTTTCCTGTATTGATCTGTGTGTCTTATTTATATTATCCCCTGATACTTAGAAGTGTCATTTCTTTAACTATTATAAACCTCTTTGGTGTGTTTTTCTTTGGATTTTACTCATAAGCTGCTAATCAGAGGCAGATTATTAACCTTAATCTGTTTTGTATTCATGAATGAATCTCCAAATTTACCTAAACTATGTTGGTATCTATCATCTCAGATTTAAAGAGACTGTGTTGACTACTGGCTGAGTGCCTAAGTGCTCAGCTACCACCCAAAACATCGGTAGTTCTAACCGATGAGTCTTTCCATGCAAGAAAGATGTGCTTTTTTTTTCCCATCAAGATTTCAGCTTTGGAAACCCTATGTGTCAGTTCCACCCTGTCCTATAGGGTCATTCTGAATCAGAATCAAGTCAGTGGCAATGGGCGTGGTTGTTCTTGTACAGCCAGAAATTTTGAGTCATTATTTTTTACACTCAGCTCAATCTTTTCCATAGTCACTGTATAAATATAAGAAAAATAAAACTATTGTGTGGGGTATAAACAATAAATATCATTTCTATAAGCAATAACTATGTGTAAAAATAAAATAATTGTGATGATATTATGAAATAAGTATTGTGCATAGGAAAGAAACTGCTTAAATTGTGTTATTATTGTTGTTAGTAGAAATATCTATAAATTAACTTACATAAGACAATAAAGGTCTTGAATAAAACTATTTTGTTTGCATTTACTTTATACTTTAAAATATTTTATAATAAAAGAAATATAAATGTACATAAGCATAGAAGTTGTGTAACGTATCTTCATACACATTAAAGTAACCTTACATTATAATATTATAATACTTTATCTTAATCAGTACAATGTTTTCTGTGAGAATTTTTTTCTCCTAGAGAAAAACTACATGAACTACAGTTTTGAAATGAGTATTTTAATCATCTGCTTATTTTACTGATGAGTAAACTTTATTTTGAAGATTTTAAACTTTTAACATCATGTTGAAAACTAGGGAGGTAAAAATGAGGAGCTGATGCCCGGGGCTTAGGTGGAGAGCAAATGTTTCCAGAATGATGAAGGCAACGAATGTACAATGTGCTTTACACAATTGATATATGTATGGATTGTGATAAGAGTTGTATGAGCCCCTAATAAAATGATTTAAAAAAATAATAATATAAAGAAAAAAACTAGGGAGGAAATTAAATAGTTAAGTAAAAGAAAAACAAATAAAGAAGCAAACAGATAGTCCATCTTATATCTCTGTATAAAAAAGTTTAGTTCATAGATCCCCATCGCCAATTTTCCATATATATTTTGTCAAATATCCCTCAATATCTTAAAATCACATTTAGATAGTAGGTGAGATATTTTTGGCTTAAAATTTTAAACTTCACTGTCTTAATCACTGTAATCCCTTAACATCTCTTTATATAGAATAAAATTAACAACAGCAACTTGAAATGTTAGCTAGTAAATGTAGAGGGCAGTGAATTTATGTTAATAGGGCAGGATAGCTCAGTAAAAGAGGTGGGAATGACTACAGTTTGATGGATGTAATCAATGTCACTGAATTGTGTGTGCAGAAATTATTGAATTGGAGTATGATTTGCTGGGTGTATTCTCAACAAAAACAAAAACACAATAAGTTATATAGAAGAATTTTAATTATAGTATTATTCCTGCTGGTGGGTTCATTCCATTCTTTGTGTGGCAAAGACAGCGTGTTTCCTTCGGTGATTTTAGATATTGATGCCACACCAGGCAGAGGAGCAGCAGCATGGCAAACCAAGCAGGAGAGCAGGACCACTTTATAGGCACATTGCACTTGTCAGGAATGTGAGTACAGGTCTTGGGGAAAATAGTAGACCAAAGAGATAAAGGAGAAAGGGTTTAAATCGTGTGGGGGATTATGCCTTGCCCAAGTTTACACCTAACGCTGAAGTCTGCATAAGATGTGACATGTTTCTCTGCCCTCTCCTCTATGGGTTCAGATGTCAGACATCTCTAAGATCTGGCAGTTTGGCTGGTTGAATCACATCTTTGTCATTCATGAGCTTTGTGACCTTGGCTAATTTTAGCCTTATTCAATTCTCATTGTATGTACATAAGATGGGATTTTAAGATGGCCAAAGCAAACAAACAAACTCATGGCCATCAAGTCAATCCTGATTCACAGAGACACTAGAGAAAAGGGTAGACCTGCTCTTTTGGGATTCCGACATACAGGAGTAGAAAGCCTCATCTTTCTCTTGTGGAGCAGCTGGTGGGTTCAAACTACTGGTGTTGTAGTTATCAGCTCAATGATCTTACTACTACAGCATATCTATATTGTAACACTTACTCAAGCTAATGAGTAGACATTTTAAAATGTGTCCAGATATACATATTTCTGGATTCTGGGAATTATCTCTATCAATCCTAGGGGACTTTAGCTTGATCACCTTGTGTACCTCATCAAGAGAGGTCAACCAGTAGAAAAGGACTTCATATTTAGTAATGTTAGTGTTTCACAATGATCTGAAGTAGACACAACAGCTACCACAATGGACCTAAAGATACCCAAGTGTTGTGGCGATGGCACAGGACCTGGCAACAGCTCTTTCTGAATCCACGGCAATGAACAGCAACAACGACACTTACATTGTTTTGATTTTTGATCATTTAAATGTATTACTTCATCAATGATATAATTACATTAGAAATGGTTTTAGTCTAAAACACACACACACACACACATACATGCATGCACACACACACATACACACACACACACAACCAAGCAATCCCTTGTCTTTACAACTGCCCTATCCAGAAGACTACCTTTTCCTATAGGTCTCTTTTTAAGGTTCGCACCTACTAATTTATCATTCTATAAAAATTCATTCCTACAATGATGATTAAAGTTTCGTGTGTAGATGTTATGTAAAATGTAGAATATTAAAAATCTGAATTTTGTCTTATTCATTCATTTGTTTAAAATGTTTATTACCTTAGTGCAATCACCTTCAAGGCAACACTTCCAGCTGCTAACATCTGCATTGGGTAAAACTCAATGGAAAAAGGCATTCTATTTCCTTAAGGAGGCTGAGGATGAGACAGATGATAAGCACGGACACAACCAAAGATAAATTGTAAATGGTTATTGCTTTTTAACGTGGCGTTTACACAGTTTCAACTCATAGTGACCCTGTGCGCTACAGAACAAGACACTGGCAATCTCTGTGCCATCCTCATGATTGCTGTTCGATACGAGGCCAGCATGGCAGCCACGGTATCGGTCCATTTTCTTGAGTGTCTTCCCTCATCTTCTTGAGGTATATTTAATAGTATACTTAAAATAAAATAAAAAATAGGGCGCCCCGGGTCATTCATTTTAGCATATAAGAGTTTAATAAAAGAATGAATCTTTAAATTTTTCTTTTGTGTAGATGTTTATGTCTTGGCTATACTATCAAATAGTATAGTCTTCAAATACCTCAAGTGGATGAGTTTAGAATTTTAGAAAGTTACTTTATCTTTATTATCTGCCTGAAACATTGTCATACATTTTATTATTTATCATTGAAACCGCTTTGAACATTCAATAAGTGTTTATGGGTGGATCTATTTTTCAGATTTTCTTATATTTCAGTAACATTTTTAGGCTTTAGATCCATATGCTCAGATTTTTCTTCTCTTGTAAATCATTAATATTACATTTTAATCTCATTGTTTTCAGAACTTAAGTGTAGGAAGACACATAATTCTTGTAGTAGATGTTCATTTTTTATCTGCTATATTAATTATAATCATCCTGGGATAGCTAGTTTTATGTCCATCGTGGCTGGGCCATGATTTTCAGTGGTCTGGTAGTTAAGAAGGAGTAATCCCCCTATGACGAGATCTCCTCAAGTATGTGGACACTGTGGAAAAAGTTTTTGTTTCTTGCTGAGTTTGGATCCAGTTCTTTAGATGTGAGTCATGATCTGCTGTATTGCCTTCCAACCCCTTGGATCATTATTAGCCTGGCCCTTACCTTCTGACCTTGTATCCATTTGCCTTTGCAGTCAGAAGCTTGTCCTCTCCCATGGGCACCTCTCCCATGGACATGACATTTTCCCACCTATATTACTCTCTCTTTCTCTCTTACTCTCTCTCTCACACACACAACTTCTCTTATTTAAAAGGACTCCTCCTCCCCCCACAGAGAAGGCATTTCTAGACTGTGACCTGATTAATAGGTTAGACTCAACCCCTGCCTTTTTATCCAGTTATAAGATGACATAAAATCTAACTACCACACTAGTTTAAAGGTGAAATATTAACTAATGAGATATTTGATAAGGGAGGAGTAGATGTATTCAGTCAAGTCTGTGGTGAGAAGCCAGATGTCTTTCAATCTATTCTTCTTTCCATGATATGGGACCCTAGTTTCTTTATGGCATTCTTCATCTCCATGTTCCTTAAGGTGTATATCAGAGGGTTGAGCATGGGAGCAATAATTGTATAAAAAAGAGCAAACACCTTATCTTCTGGTAAAGTAGTTGCTGGTCGAATGTAAATAAAGAGTAAGGGGGAAAAAAACAGGACCACCACAGTGATATGGGAAGTGCATGTGGAAAGAGCTTTGTGACGATTCTCTTTGGAGTAGGACCTGACCGTGTACAAGATCACAGCATAAGATATCAACAAGACCACAAAGGTCACTAGACCCATCACACCAGAATTGGCAATGACCAAAAGACCAATTCTGCTGGTATCCGTGCAGGCCAGTTTCAGCAGGGGATAGATATCACAGAAGTAGTGATCTATCTCATTGGGGCCACAGTAGGGTAAGAAGGTGGTGAGCAGAAACTGACCAAAAGAGTGCAGGAAACCTCCAGCACAGGAAGCTGCCACCATAGCATCACACCTTCGTCTGCTCATGATGATGGTGTAGTGCAGGGGCTTGCAGATGGCCACGTAACGGTCATAGGCCATCCCTGTGAGGATGAAGACCTCAATCCCCCCAAAGAAATGCATGGTAAAGAGCTGAGTCATACAGCCATTATAGGAAATTGTCTTCTTGTCTGCCAACAAGTCAATGATTAGCTTGGGTGTCACAGTAGAGGTGTAGCAAAGGTCGGAGAGTGAGAGAAAATTCAGGAAGAAATACATGGGCTGGTTTATAAGTTGACTGCAGGTGATAGAAATCATGATAAGTAGGTTTCCTGCCAAGATTGCAATGTAACAAAATGAAAACAGTAAAAAACAGAGAATTTCAACTTCTTTTTGCGGAGAAAGTCCTAAGAGAATAAATTCTGTGAGGTTGTTCTTACTTTCCATGATCCAGAGAAGTCTGTAGGCACCTGCGATTTAAATAAATCATGATTGTCACACGGTCTGTTTAAATATGGTGAGCCGCATCATTCCACACATGAGGAAGTTTCTAATGAAGATGGTTCAAGGATGGAAGAAAATAGATTCCTTTTCTATTTCGGAAGGTTTTCATGCCAACATTATTACCCAAGTATTATATTGCTAAGATGAGATGTGTATGCATTGCATACATTTACATAGACGCATACACGCGTACAATGGTGGTTGTTATTGGTGCACACACTTGACTTGATTCTGACTCGTAGTGGCCCTGTATGACAGAGTATAATGGCCTGTAATCTTTTTGGAGCAGATCTTCATGTTTTTTCTCCCCTGTAGCTGTTAGTGGGTTCAAATTATCAACCATTGGTTCAGCAAAATGAGAACTTAAACATTGCATATAGACACACATATATAACTTATCAGGAAATATAGAAAGTGTATATATACCCAAATATTCTATCAATATGTATTATCAAACATCACATGGGTATTATATCTCAGTAGAATGATACAATTTATTATTTCTTTGAGAAAAAAAATAAATATTTTGCTGGTCTCAGTGTTTTTATTGTAATAGTCATAGTGAAAACATGTGGTCATAGTGAAAATAAGAAAATAAGGAAATGCACACAATAAATGTGTTAATGATTTATATTGAGAAATTACCCGCGCAAGTCCTACTTATAATGAAACCTAGTGACACGATGATTTTAGTATTGGACTGCTAACCCAAAGTTGAAGCCCACCAGTTTAATGGGATTTCATGGCAGTCTGTCTCCCTAAAGATTTACACCTTGGAAATCCTAACAAGCTGTTCTACTCTGTCCTCTAGGGTTGCTATGAGCAGCACATTATTTGAAATGAATTATTCCTAATAATTTATAAGCATTTGCTCCTCTGCTCAAACTACTCCTCAAAACTATGTTCTTGTGATGTAGTGCAAAGAATGCAAATCAGAATTTTTACTCGAGTCTAACCTTTACTTCACATTAGATTGCTGTACCTCAACTCTTATTTCCTCACCATTTGTCTAGGATATTGTGTTATAATCCACTAGACTTCTTTGAACTTCTCTACAAGGTAACAAACCAAAACATGTTTTAAAAGACAAGTGCTATTGTGTTAAAGCTTTCCTTTCTGACCAAAAGAAAGTGGTAAATGAAAGCCTCAGGGTTCAATTGGAAAAAAAATAAAGGACATTTTGAAGAATGCACTTTTTAAAAAATTATGTATTTCAGACAAATCATTAAAAAACTGTAAAGAATCATAATCAAATAAATGTATATGATACAGTGTATTAGAGAAAAGCAAATAAATAAGTGAAAAAAGAACTATGTAGTTTTATTTGCTTTTTAAACTCCACATGACACTGAAAACCCAAAACGAACTCCTACTAAGTCAATTCTAGCACATCATACTCCGGAGGACAGCATAGAATTGCTGCTGTGAGCTTCTGAGATTGGAAATATTTACTGGGTAGAAAGGCCCATGTTTCTCAGGAGGACAAGCTGACAGTTTCCAACTGTGAACTTGCCTGAGAGCAATCCAGAGTAACCTCGGCACCGCCAGGCTCCTTCCCAGGTAACACTCCACCCAAGAAATAAAAGCTATTTTCTTGAACCACAAACAAATACTCTCTTCCTTATTTGCAAGTGTTTCAATAGAAACTGAAGAAGGTAAAATCCTATATTTCTACTGGAATCAATTAATAGCTGCATATTTTAAAACATATTCAATAGTAACTTATCACCTTACCAACAAACATCCCTTATAACAGTGGACTCTTCAATAAACAAAGCATTTCCCTCATCGGCCATACTACTTTTAATTCAATCAAATTTAACAAATCATATTCCTTCTTCTGTACTTGAGAATAACTCTTGGTGTGGAGCAAGTTCCAATTCATCGTGAGGCTATAGATCGGGATAGTCAAGGTTTTCATCTCTGTGGAAGCCAACTGTCATGTCTTTCTCCAATGCAGCAAGCTAGTTGGTTTGAACTGCTGACCTTCTTCTTCAGTAGCCGAAAGTTTAATCTCAGAACCACCAAGGCTCCTTGTACTTCAGTTTAAACACAAGGACACTGAAAGATCTAATCCAGATGACGTCTTAGGGCCTTTACTGAGTCTGAAGAAACGTGATAGTGCAGGGATTAAATGCTAAGTAACTATAAATCAGAATCAATTTGTCAATTTTTGTTGCTGGGTTTTTGTTTTTGTTTCATAGAAGACTGTGAATTAAGAGCACCAGTTGCATGCTGATGGCTGGTTACCTTTCTTCAAAAAATATCAGTGTAAATTCAAAACTAGAGCATTGTGTTGTTATCTCTTTCATTATTCATCATCTCTGATACTGAAGTCCAATCAAGAGTGTTTCCTCTTCAGTGAACAGAACCAACAGACTAGCTCCTTTGTAGTGAATGTTTGATATATTCCCTAGACTCCCTCAACATTGCTGCCTACGCAACCTCCGCACTTGGAAACCTTTCGCATCGTTTTTTGTTCTTCTAGAACTTACAGATTCTTATCTTGCCTCTTTATGTACCTGAAGAGTCCTTCTGACTATCTGTGACTGTGGATCTGGACACTGTGCCATTCCCACATTTCCCGTGGCTTCATTCCCATTAGCCTGCTCATGTGCCTCAAACCCATCAGAGCCAATTCAACTCCCACGGTTTCCAGATACATTTCATTAACCGTGACAGTGTACCATGAGTGATCAACTCAAATATCTTTCAGTAATTAGAATTAAGCACTTTTCCTCTTTTTTTCCTCCAGTTTAGTGACATTTCAAATGTCTTAGCTCATCTTCCCAAGGATGCCTTAAATTGGGACTTGTAAGGTTAGTGCCAAATATTTTTCCTGTCTAGATATAATGAAAAAATTCAGACTTAAAACAATACAAAATGCCATGCCATTAAGTCTACAATGAATCCTCTATTTAAAAACTTAGTCACAAGGCATGCTTTAAGTAGAAAGAATAATAGTTTTACTAACTTATTGTATTTACAATACTGAATTAGGGCTAAACTTTTTTGATTAACACTGGTGAATGCACACATAATCATTAAATTGCTATTTTAATAATTAAGTATAAAATTATGTATTTTTCTAAGGACAGTGATTCAGTTTTAATAGTTTAAATGAAGCTCAAGAGAGATGGAGTTCACCAGGAGTTAGGTTAAATCTATGATCCACATATTGAGTCGCAACTACCATAGAATCAGAATCAACCAAAAAACTCAATAAATAAAGATATCATTAAACAAAAAATTATGAAGAGTTCAGAAGAGGAACTTACCTGTTGTATAAGAAAATGTGCTTCTATCCAAATAAAGGGTATTGTCACAATTTTATTTCAATATTTAGGAGAAGGAGAAACCAGTATCTTAAGGATTTATATTGTAAACTATTTTTAAAATCCCTCCTCAAATGGTATATGTATTACAGTATCTGAAAAAAAAGTAATACAAGCAAGATACATGGTTCCTGTTGGGGTTTTCAAATGACTTTACCTGAGAAATAGTTAACTTCGAGGCATTTATCCCAGTTTCTCTGAGTAAGTTTGGAAATTCCCATTGGGATAATTTGTACTTTAAAAAAATTATGGAAGTATCAATCAAGTCATTTTCTTTTCCTGTGTGTACTTAGAAACAAAGACCAGATTCCATTTGCTATGGGCATAATTATGAGAAACTCTAATCACCAGAAAAGAATGTAAGAATAGAAGCAGAAAGAATAACTTTTGAGTTGTAGGTAAATTGGAAAACAGTACTGTAGATGCAATTTTTATGCTGTGTTGTTAGATGCCATCAAGTCACCTGAGACCCAAACCAACACTATGCACAACAAAATGAAACATGGCATGGTCGTGTGCCATCCTCACAATTGTTCCTGTGCCTAAGCCTATTGGTGCAGCCATTGTATCAATCCATCTTGTTGATGGCTTTTCTCTTTTTCACTGACATTCCACTTGACCAAACTTTACCACTTGTCTGTCAGTTTGTCATACTGTGGTGGCTTGTGAGTTGCGGTGATGTTGTAATACATGTTACTGGTATTTCAAATGCCCCAGCAGGGTCTCCCAAAAGGACAGGTTTCAATGAAGTTTCCAGACTAAGAATTGACAATAAAGAAGGATTCAGGTCCCTACTTCGAAGGAAGAATCCACTGAAAACTTTATGCATAGCTTCAAAGACTCAACTTATAAAAGATGCTGACAACTCTAGTATTCATTGCTATAGTCTAATATAATAGTTTTGAAAGGCTAACACAATCTAATACTCTTCCATACTTGATGCATTTGGCTCTTAATTTTCCCCCAACATTTTACACATGGAATATTTTTATTAAACTCATCCCTGTGATACAAGATTCTCCTGTGTCTTTTATTTATTTATTTATTTGTAATCAGATTTGCTTTCTCCATAACTTTGTTTGTTGAAAAATATTCCTTCAAATATCATAGATTGTATCCTTTCATTTTTTATACTGTACCCTAATTATCCATCACTCATCTATCACTTTTTCATAAGGTGGTACCTGTGTGTTGTTGAGATGCTGGGAACTATGCCACTGCTATTCCAAATACCAGAAGAGTCAAATTACATCATAATCAGGCTTCATTAGAGCTTCCAAACTAAGACTAGTCTAGGAAGAAGGAATAGACTATCCACTTTTGAGAGAATAGATATTGAAAACCATGAATGACAATGAAACATTGTCTTATACGAGAGGGTACCCTCCCCAAATTGAAATTGTGCTTGTTAGAGTGGAGCTTTCATAGTAGTATGCATTT